CTGTTACTGGCAGTCCCTTATGAAAATGAACCATGGTTTTACTAAAGTGACTGTAGTTTAACTGTAGTATTTATAGATTTGAATCATGTGTAAACAAAAAACATATTTGAACCATGTGTAAACAAAAATATAACCTAATAAGTTACAATTAAGGCGTATTGAATGTTAAAATGCGTTTTAAACAAAGTTAAGTGCTTATAATTACTCATTTTACTCTTAGTAATTTAATAATCGAATACATTTCATAATTTAAAAGTTTAGTTCAGAAGTATCGAATCGGTATCGAAGATATCGCCTGCCTCGAAAAATATCGATATCGTATCGAAAACAAAATAAGTTGTATCGCCCATCCCTAACTTTAAAGGCATCGCAAATTCACATTTTACTGCAGAAGCCGACAATTGCCCTTGTTGTTTTTGAACAGAAGCCGATAAGTCCATTTTAGCGAATCGGCGCGCTTTTAGCGATTAAAATTTTTTTATTTTAAAATTTAGAAAATTTAGTTTTAAAATTTAGCGAACATATTGCGTGTAATTACATCCATACAGTTTATGATCACAACAACAACAACATTTGTCAGGCATCTACATGGAGATTACAAAGATTAAACAAGTGTTTTTTCTAACTCTAAAACATGAAATGTGGCGTTGTCTGCTTTTGCCAAAAAACGACTGTTGGAGTTATCTGCTTTTTGCTATAAAACAAACTTTTAATATCTAAAAAAAAAAAAACATACTTTCAATGAACTTTAATTTTGTAAATTACCTGTATTTGTTTAAGCTATTATTACTTAATCAAAACAACCCAACTGCAGTTTGATTGATATTACTTGGAATGCGCAATAAAAAGAAACGTGATTTCTGAAAAAAAAATAATAATAATTTGTTATCGGTTATTGCAAATGAACTCTTCATATAAAACATGCTTGTATTTTAGGTTAATATACAGTATATTTTATCTGTCTATTTAGTTTATTTTGCACAACAACTCTATTAATTGTATTTTTTAAGGACAAAGAGGGGTTTGAAAGGTTGAGGCTGTTCTACACACATGCGTTAAACTGCCCAACTAACAGAGAATGTTCACCTAACATTAGTACTCGTTTCCCATTCGGTAATTTTTTTGGGAACCAAACAATACTGTTCTAGGAACATTCTTTTTTTTATTTTACAAACATAAAATAGCTTAAAATCCCATAATGTTGGAGAAAGGGTTTTTAAGACAACCTAAAAAAAAGTACTTTTACAGAATGTTTCATAATAAGTACTTTAAGGTTTTACTTTTGCAATAGCTTACATAGAAAGGTTATGTTATGTGTCATTTTTGATTATAATGTGTACTGTGTACAGACTTTGCTTTTCTCTGCCGAGGTTTTACATTTCTGCAAAGATTAGTAAACTTCAGTGTCGTAATCACGGTTTATTTAAATTTTGTTACCATACCTTTTCCCGAACTTAATCTTTTTTCTCTCTTTCAGAGTTATGAACTGCCACCTCACGAAAGAGTCGTAGAAAGGGTTTACATCAGTCGTGATGAAGGAACGACGCCAGTCAGCCTACAATATCAATGAGGAAAAACTTCATTTACAGACACAAATGTCAAAAATCATGTTGCTTTAAATGGCAAAATACAACGCAATAGGCAGAATTACAAATATTCAGGTGCACTTTTACTACCTTTAAACCCATTTTCTTCAGGTCTTCTACAGCAAGAGGAGGGAAATATTCAAACTTCACAATTTCATCGTCCCGCAGCCCCAGAGATTTCATGATGTCCCACTGGAACTTGGAGCTTCCAGACTTTGCTACAGCTTTGCTCTGCCAATGACATCACATAGTCATATACAGTTGAGGTCAAAATTGTACATACAATTTGCAGTATCTGCAAAATGTTAATTATTTTACCAAAATAAGAGCGATCATACAAAATTCATGTTATTTTTTTATTTAGTGCTGACCTGAATAAGATATTTCACATAAAGATGTTTAAATATAGTCCACAAGAAAAATGAATAGTTGAATTTATAAAAATGACCCCGTTCAAAAGTTTACATTTGCTCGATTCTTAATACGGTGTTGTTACCTGGATGATCCACAGCTGTTTTTTGTGATAGTCGTTCATGTGTCCCTTGTTTGTCTTGAACAGTTAAACTGCACGTTGTTCTTCAATCATTCACGTCCCACAAATTCTTTGGCAAGTTTCTTATGAGTCTCTCAGTGTGAAAAGATGGATCTCAAAATCATTTGTCATTTTTGGAAGGGGTTCAAATACGCAAAAGATGCTGGAAGACCAAAAAATGTGTGGGACCTGAAGGATTTTTCTGAAGAACAGCAGGCAATTTTAATGTTCAAGACAAACAAGGGACTCATGAATGACTATCACAAAAAAAAACAGCTGTGGATCATCCAGGTAACAACACAGTATTAAGAATCGAGCATCTGTAAAGAATCGAGCATATGTTTTTATATATTCATTTATTCTTGTGGACTATATGTAAACATCTTTTATGTGAAATATCTTATTCAGGTTAGCACTAACTAAAAAAATAACAACATGCATTTTGTATGATCCCTCTTATTTTGGTAAAATAATTAACTTTTTGCAGATACTGCAAAGCGTATGTAAAATTTTGACCACAGTGCGCATATATATATATATATATATATCGTTTTGCCGATATTATCGGCCGATATGAGCCTGTCGCCGATATATCGGTATCGGCGAATATGCCACCGATATGAAAAATATTTTTACAGAACATATAACGCAGATAAAATGCTTGAAATGGAGTAATTACTTAGTTTGTCCAGCAGAGCACGCTCCACTGTTTACTACTGGCGACCTGGATGAAACGCTTTAAAGCTTAAGTCTATGGAAAACCATTGAAACTTTGAACGACCATATCTCCATAACGGCGCGGCAAATCCGCGACCAATTTCGGGGGATCACTTCAGCTCGAGGAACCCTCTTGAACGCGAATCGAGTGTACATCTAGAGGCCCGCTTTCGAATGAGACCACCACCGCGTCGATAGCCCCCGGGGTTCGGGAGTTACGGGTGGTTAGATTCACGGTCCGGCGCCAACCGATCTAGCGATCCCGGGGGGTTACCGAGCATTCACACGTTGTCTTATTCGACCGTAAGTGCCCTGCGAAGTGGACGTCACATGAAATTCCGCCATGATTCCGGTTTCAAGGGAACGTACACGTTACATTCAAAGGGCATTAAAGTGCACGAGACGTGAATTTATATTGTATTTATTTACAGAGGTAGGGGAGAGCGGGGCACAAAGTAACACTTTTTGACTTTCTCAGTTTGTGTAAATCCACATGGGGTTCAGAATATATATATTTTTTAATCCACGGTAATTTTACACTTGTCTAGTACAAATATGTCGCTTTGTTTCATAATTACTGTGTATACGTTTTTCTTTATTTACCCTCAAAAAATGGAAGTGAAATGTGACAACATGCCCCGTAGGTGGAACACATTGTAACATCTGAGGGGCACATTGTAACTTGACAGCTTAAAATCTTATCTGATCGAATGAAAAAAATATTCAAGACAAACTAAAATATTTTGTTTATATATATATATATATATATCATGATTTTAGCAAATGGCTGCAATATAACAAAGAGTGAAAAATTTAAGGGGGTCTGAATACTTTCCGTACCCACTATATATATATATATATATTTATATTCAGCAGAGCATCATTAAAATATTACCTTATGTAAACCGTTAGAAATGCATCTAAACTTTAGTTCATAAATTAAAGTACATCATCTAGTGATCTGTTCAGTATCATAGTTTATGTTTATGAATAAAACTTCCAGCAACCAAAATGGTACATTTCCTAAGCTATACAGAGGCACTCGTCTCCAGATCAGAACAGCAGTGATGCATCAGCAGCTCGGATTGACAGCTGTCAACTCCATTCATAGAGTTATGAATGCTTGCAAGACAGTAACAACGTTATTGAGATCGCTCACTGTGTGGATAGAACATTTGCTCCTACTTTTCATGAGCTCCTACTCAAAAAACATAAATGATCAAGCGACACATTTGCATGACGCTAACTACTAAATATAAGCCATGCTGCTCAATGGACAGGTTTATTTCATTTTTTTTGGTGTTGTTTGAGCTCATGAAGCAGGCAATACTCTAAACCGCATGAAGTAAAGAGTGTAAACCATTAAACCGGCTTATTATTAATGAAATGTACCGTCATTCTGATCTATTAGCAGTAACTCCGGCAGGATTTGTTGACGCGTGAAACCCACGCTGGCTGCGCTCGGCTGATGACAGCGTGCGGAAACGGAAGACGCTTTGTATTATGGGTAATGGAGTTCGTAGGGCCTCAATCAATACTCTTCCCCAGTTTACAAGAAGCGCTCTGTGATATCCCGGTGCAGTTATATGCGGTGTGGGGGAGTACAACTAGTTACATGTTACGTAATTTAATTACAAAATAAATGTAACTGTAACCTGTTACAGTTACCTATGAAAATGTTAACGATTACAAAGGTACATCTGAATATTTTCGCGCGCGCGCACACACACCTTTTTTTGCTATCTTAGTGAAGACATTGCATAGACCTCCATTGATCTTAGATCAGGTTAATGATATTTTCAAATCATTAACCCAACCCCTAAACCTACCCCTCACATGTGCAAAACACTAGATTTAAATAACATCTTTTGGCTGATGTATAAGAATTAAATGGGGTAACTTGTCATTTGTAATATAGCAAATAATAAATAATAATAAATAATGTATTGTCATTTATCAAATTATTATTATTATTACTGTGGTGTGCATTGTTTTTTCTCTCAGAAATGTTCCATACATTCCAGCATGGCATAAACAATTCAGTATTAAATAGTATTTCTCTGATGTGGGTGGCCATTATGAAAAGCGGGGGACTGGTAATTATGATATGCATCATGGCATGTTAAAGCAGCTCTGTGATTGGCTGTCCTCCTCTTTGCGTCGTGACGTTGCCAAGAACCGCCAGCAGCTCGACGTGCTAGTGACTACAGAAGGCCCAGTGTGTTTTCAGACGATGCTAGTAGGAGTTGCGCATAAACACCCAGCCTTTTATCAGTATTAATTACTTGCGCGTCAGGATGATTATAGACAATGTTGACGCTCTGAAATCCTGGCTGGCTAAACTTCTTGAACCCATGTAAGTGATGAACAGTGACATTTGAAAGAGTGAAGCTAACATGCTAACAGCTTAGCTGGGTTTCAAACCACTTAACCGCTCTGCGAACAGATATCGCTTACTTTGATTGTTTTTAAGTGATAGTTCATTTGTGTTGTATTCATATAAGGTCATATTGTTCAGAAAACTAACACATATCCTAGTTAGAAGCTATGGAGTTGGAAGCTTAGCTAAGAGGGTCTGCTGGCAGAGTGGGGTGGTCATCAAAACAGCCTGATAGTTTTCATAGACTGGGCCAAAACAGGATTAGGGCACAAGTTATTTTCGTTTTAAAGCCTTGGCATGTGTGATCAGCAGGCAGGCAGTTTATTTTTGAAGTCAGTAGTGTGTTTGGTGGTTGTTGCACTGGCTGACAACTTGTCAAGTGTTTGATTTCAGTGCAACCTAGTAGTAGACCTCTTGGAAAAGCTGCTAGTAAACAACACTTGTGTTGTGTTTTGCTGTTTTAGAAGACCTGCATGGATACACGTGACTTTTGGATTAGCTAGGAAACTTCTTGTCTTTTGCATGTGTGGATTTACATGAAATGAACCTGAGATCTTTTACAGATGTGATGCTGACCCGTCTGCATTGGCAAACTACGTCGTGGCGTTAGTAAAGAAGGATAAACCAGAGAAAGAACTCCGAGCGTTGTGTGCGGATCAGCTGGATGTGTTCCTCCAGAAAGGTATTGGTTAAAAAAAAAAGTCTTCACATAGCTGTTTGATTCTAAATTTAGAAAGTGTTGTGAATACTGTGCACATACGTATGCAATTACTAGTGAATTCAGGCCCTTTTGTCGAGCGTGAATGATTTAATACGATTATCATGCGCTTTGTTCTATTTCCTGAATTGATTCATTGTTCTGTTTGTTTCGCAGAGACTACAGGGTTCGTCGATAAACTCTTTGAATGCCTAACCACCAAAAATTATTTGGGAACTCCAGCTGCTAAAGAAGAGAGTAAAATCCCAGTGCAGAAGCTTGAGGAGAAGGAAGAGGTAAATAGTCACTAATAGGAAATAACAGTGTAAAATATGTGTTATTGTTTATAATGTTGCAAAATGTAAACTGTGTAATGGCACAGCTCTCTATATAAAGTTGGATACATAAGTATATCCAATATATACGGTATAATTGCGAGATATACTATATAGCAACTGCTTGATTGTTTATATCATTGAAAAATATAAAGTGTATTATCACCCAGCTCTAATCTGCTTGATGCAACTATAAGGCATGAAAATGTTATGACATTATAAACATCATCATCATGATTTTCTTTAAAGGGGTCCTATTATGCTCTTTTACAAAGTCTTGATTTTGTTTTGGGGGTGTACTAGAACATGCTCTCATGCTCGGTGGTTCGAAAAACGCATTATTTTTCACATAGCTTACATTATTACAATACCTTTCTCCCCAGGCTGGCGCAAACGGCTTGATTAGTTCCGGCTTTGATGAAGATTCGCCCTCCGAAAAACAAAATGTGTTGTGATTGGTTAGCTGCTTCAGTGCGTTGTGATTGGCGAACAGCTTAGACGGTGTTTCAGTACTGCCCTTCCTCCATCCTTCAACAAAAGCTTTTGGCGAATCCGGCACTGTACTCCCTCATGTTGTGGAAGCTGTCCTCAGTAAAATGCGCAGCACACAATAGCAAATTGGGGTTATAATGCTCGGGAACAGAGTTAAAAAATAAATTGCAATAAATTTTCCTGACATCATCCGCTTTTGGAAGCCCAAACAAAGACGTTTGGGCACGGAGGTGAAAAAAAACAGCGGTTCAGGCGGTTGCACACCGGACGAGAAGCGTCGCGCCACATCTTTAAAATTAAAGGTCCCATGACACGCTGCTTTTTAGATGCTTTTATATAGGCCTAAGTGGTCCCTAGTACTGTATCTGAAGTCTCTTTCCCGAAATTCAGCCTTGGTGCAGAATTTCAGCCACTACGAGCCAGTCCCACAATGAGCTTTCCTTAGGACGTGCCATTTCTGTGTCTGTAGCTTTAAATGCTAATGAGGAGGAGAGAGGCGGGGCAACTGCCATGCTTCGCTCGTTCGCAAGTCATGATGTCTCTCGAGGGAAAAAAAAAATATTGCGCTCGCCTCGCACGGTAGTAGCTCATTTTCTCATGGGCGGGCCAAATTCTCTGGGCGGGCAAAGCAGAGAAAGGGGAGGTAACCTTTCCCCGTATGACGACATAAAGGGAAGATTCCAGATTGGGCCATCTGAGCTTTCATTTTCTCAAAGGCGAAGCAGTATACCCAGGGCTCGGTTTACACCTATCGCCATTTCTAGCCACTGGGGGACCATAGGCAGGCTAGGGGAACTCATATTAATGTTAAAAAACCTCATAAAGTGAAATTTCATGCCATGGGACCTTTAAAATACATTATTTTCTATGAGTGTATGCACACCGGCAGCGCCGTTCGGCGTCTGTCCGCGGCGCCCAGTTACGTCATGTTGTACTTGTAAGAATTGTTCTAGACCAGCGGTTCTCAATTCCAGTCCTCGCGTACCCCCGCTCTGCATGTTTTGCACGTCTCTCTTTGTTAACACACCTGATTCAGATCATCTCGTTAGAAGTGAGCTCCGTGCATGAACTGTTTCGATTGACATGGCCCTACACAGTGTCCATTGCTCCCTACTCCCTGAGCAGGGGAAATCTGTTGAAGTTTACTTCGGAATATTCATTTATAGATTTGCGCTGCGCCACTGCCTGCAGCGTCTTCACACACAAAAGAAACTTACTAGAAAAGCGTGAAGTGGGACATAATATACCTCTGTAAATAAATACAATTTAAATTCACGTCTCGCACGCTTAAATGCCCTTTGTCTGGAACATATACGCTCCCTTCAAACTGGAATCATGGAGGAATATCCGGTAATGTCCACTTCGCAGGGCACTTACAGTCAAATATAACAAACGTATGAAGCAATAAGAGAAACATACAAAATGTGCAGAGCGGGGGTACGTGAGGACTGGAATTGAGAACCGCTGTTCTAGAAATGCCAAAAATGCTACAGCACAGCAGCTCTTCTTCTTGGTTTTCTCTGATGCACTAACTCTGCAGCAGCACTTCTTCTTCATCGTCTCGTCTGATGCGATCACTCAACCAAGCGTTCTAACCACAACCTCGCCCCTCCCCACCCCCCAACCATTCAAATTTCTGTAGGCCTAAATTATTTGTAATGATATTCCAATGAGCCGCTTTGTGATATCACAAAGCCCGGAAAACGTACGCTGTAGTCCAAACGAGCCGTTCGTTGTAGTTCTTGAAAAGGGATTTTTAAAAAACGAAATATCTCCCTTTGGAGTGGACTTTGAGATTTGTAACTTTCTAGATCTTTTTTTTTATGCCCAAACATACACACTACACACTGACTAAAATTAAAAAAGTGAAAAAGCATAATAGGACCCCTTTAAAACGATGTGTATTGTTAAAAACATAAACTTGATTTGACGTGTATAGTAGTGCACTATACTCTCCAATGGTCATGACAGATTCCTAGTGTAAATAAATGAATAAATTGCATTAATATTAATAACACATTGACATGTGTTTTCAGCCTAGTCATGTTGAAGATGATAGGGATAACAGAAGAAGAAGAAGCCCATTAAGGAATCGTTCAGACTTCAACGAATCAAGGTTGGTCTTCAAAAGTTTAGTAATTCAGTAATATAAAGTTTTCCTGTAATTCAAAGCTGAATTTTCAGCTTCATTACTCCATTCTTCAGTGTCGCATGATCCTTCAGAAAGCATTCTAATATGCTGCTCAAGCAACATTTATTTTTAGTATCAATGTTGAAAACAGTTGTGGTGCTTAATATTGTTCTGGAAACCATGATTTCATGATTTCAGATTTCTTTGATGAATAGGAAGTTAAAAGAAGATAGAAATAATTTGTAACAATGTAGAAGTCTTTACTGTCACCTTTCAGTTTAATCGTTGTAATGCATCCTTGAAAGTAGTCATTTCTTTTAAAAAACTAAATCTTATTGAGTACCTCAAATTATTCCATGAAACTTCCATTATGTGTAAAAACCCTTTCACATCAGACATGAGGCAGTCCAATGTTTATCAAATTCACTCATCAGTAACACGCAGTATCTAAACGTCTCAACTCAGGGCTAGAGATGACCGCAGGAGAGACGACCGTAAGCGACGGGAACTGGACCGTCATGGAAAGAGCGGAGAATCGTACCGAGACCGACATGAGCGTCGAGGAGGAAGCTCACGGGGGAGAAGCTACAGTCGAAGCAGGAGTCGTAGCCGCAGTAGCAGCCGTGGAAAGAGCCGAGAAAGAGAGCACAATCAGAGGAGAGGTGAGGACCGTCCCAAATCATTACGTTTACCTATACTTAAGTTCATTTGTGTGCAACAGAGGAGTGCCTAGAAATGTATTTAATTTAAATGGTTTATCGTTCCATAATATGATGCACTTTTTTATTTTATTTAATATTTGATTCTTAAATGCATAAAAAATAAATTTATTCAAACATGGAAGGACTTAAATGTACATTTTTCTAATATGCTTATATTTAGATTAAAAAAAAAATTTGGTATAAAAAATGTCAGGCCGATGTAACTGTCCTGATATCATTAAATAATAAATAATTAAAATAAAGCAATTTTTGAAAGTGCTTTGGTGTAATCTTTTGTTACTATTTCTTGGGAAATAAAACTGCTTATTAATAATTGAAAAAAATTTGAGGACGAAATTATATCATAGAGAGAGCCTTTAAAGACCTTCAAGGCTTTGTTTTATATGTTTATTTAATGATTATATTTGTTTTCAAAAATGCCTTTTAACTTCAATATTTAAAAATAAATAATAAAACTAATATAAGAGTAGTACGTATGCAAGGTAAATATGAAAATGCTTGTAAGCAAACAAAAAATACTTAATGGTTATGCCCCTTGACATTATTAGAGTTATTAAACGTATGTTTTTTTTTCAAAATAGTATAAAAGTTTTTCTAAACTGTTTGCAACCAACATAAATTAAAGCAATAAGCCCCAAGAAGCCGTGGTTTACAGTGAATTTATAATGGCTAAGAGGCATTGTTAATAAAAAAAAATCACCTTAGCTGTTATAAATTCACTGTAAACCACGGCTTCACGGGGCTTATTGCTTTTATAAAACGGTTATTCCATATACATGGTTAGGTTTCACAAAATAAAACGGAGCAAATAAAGTGTAATGATATTAATAAAAACAGTATTCTTCCACCCGTCGGAGAACGTGTTAACAGCCGTATTAAATAATAGCGATATCTAAGGACTTTTAAGATAATCCGTTAAACTAGCGAGCTGTTTTTATATCTAAACGTTAGTGAAAAGAATAAAAATAAAAAACGTTTAGATATCAGTCCGCGCATCTGATGGACATTGGCTATGATAATCTTTGGTATCTACTTTGAAGGCGTCTTGAGTAAAACTGCTTTTTATTTAACGAAGCATATGCAAAACGCTTGAACCGGAAGCGACGAGACTCGATTAACAGAATACGTAAGTCTGTTGCGCATAACCCCTATTAGCACACCTAAAGTCTATAGCAGGCGAATGGCTCAAATCGAAACCACTGCGGGACAGTTCGCCACTTAAGTGCAGTAAACAAGCAATACAAATACTAAAAGCTTCTTCTTAGCAGACGACTGTTATTCTAATTACAAATAAGTGCAATCAAAATACAAATTAATAACAAAAGACAAATAGAAATAGATAATGAAATATTCCTTTCTAGCAGCAAATAAAAATCTAAACAACAGAAATAGAAACAAAGTATTAAGCAAACACTTACGCTCTGCTGACTAATCGCTTGTCGTTGACTGTAAATTTATTCAAACAGCTGTCAGGATTTCTTTCTTTGCAAACAAACATTCAACAAATGTGTCTTCATTTTAAATGTGCTTTTATTTCAGCAGAGCACAGATCCAAATTTGAGCCGGAGCGGAAGGACATAGAGCCTTACAACCCATCCTCTGCCCACATGGGTAACCCACACCACCAGCAGACCCATCCACCCCCCCTGCTCCCTCTGCCCCTTCCTCAGCACCAGTTCCACTCTTCAGGGAGCCCAGTCGTCCCCAACGCTGTAACCGTGGTAGCACCGGCTCACCTGCCCGACAGCACTACAGAGAGCTGGTCCACATACTTCACCAACCACACAGACGGCAAGACGTTCAACAAGAGCAACACGCTTAAACACCGCTGCAGAGACTACGACGGTAAGACGCAATTCACTTTTGTCACATGTTTGGTGTGATTATGCTTGTATGACTTTTCCCTGACTTTTCTAATTAGTGTTGTTATTGTTAACTAAAACTTAAAAAAAATTGTTTTTGGTAACTGAAAAAAAAAAAGCTACAAGAAAATTAGAAATGTTGCCTTGGCAACTAACTGAAATAAGTTTAAGTACTAAAATTACTGAAACGAGAACTAACATAAAAATAAATTAAAGCTAAATAGGTGTTTTTTGTTGTTGTTTTTTTTTTTCACGATAATTTTTATATAAAGTAGTTTTTAAATTATACTAAATAACACCGTTTCTAATGCATTTTATATTGTTTAAATTAGCAACCGATAAAAAAAAAATAAAAAAAAATTTCAAAAAGTTTGGACACTTAACTAATGGACACTTGTAATTCATCACATTAAATACGAACTTGTTCTACTAATGTGTGGCAACCAGAAAGTGTACAAAAACATGTTTGCTTGGTTTGAAATAAAACAAATAGGGTTGCAAAAAGGTGGAAAATTTCCAGTAAATTTCGGAACCATTCCAGGATTTTATGGAATATTCCAGGGATTTTTTTTTTGGAAAGTTTCCGGAAATTTTCCACCCCTTTGCAACCCTAAAAACAATAGATTCACTGTTCGAAATGAAGACAGAAAGCTATTTTAAACATGTTAAACCTAACAAACATGTTTCGCTTAAAGTATGCTTGTGCTTTCTTTCTTAAATGCATGCAACTTAGTTTCATGTTTTAATGTTTTAGCTCTTAAAGTCCAAATACATTTTGCAGCCACTGGATGTCTTTAAAATCGAAGTCCAGTGATGTATAATCAGAAACACTGATGTGTCTTGATGTCCTCTAAGGACACAGTTTACTCTTTTGGGTGTCTGTTTCTAAAGCATCACTAATGACTATGGCGTAGCAGACTCACTGCATGGCCTTATGGGAGTGGCATTAAAGAGGCAGTGTTTATATTTACTACCCTGTATTTCTGGAGCGAGGGTATTTATCGCACTGCTGGGAGTAGCAGGAGAATGTCCACAGAGATTACTGAAGGATGGATGGTTAGCTCGATTATCCCTGATCTTATTAAAGAAGCTGTGATTTGGCATGTTGACGGGAAAGAGACGTGACGATCCATACAGCACTGTTTACATGGAGCAAACTCCACTGAAGAATGACCTCAGTGACCAGAAGTTCATCCACCTTGACAAGTACTCCTTCCTCAAGGATGACTCGAATAGGGCTCAAATTTCAAAGTGCTTTGGAAAAAACTGGTGTGATATTGTTGATTTTAATGTTTAGTGTTTCTTTTTGTTGGCAGAGAAAGGATTTTGTATACGAGGCGATCTCTGTCCTTTTGACCACGGTAATGACCCTCTGATCGTGGATGACGTCACGCTTCCTACCATGATCCCGTTTCCACCCCCACCAGGCCTGCCACGGATGCCCATGCCGCCAATGACAGAACCACCTCCTCGCATGCCCATGCCACTGCCCCCTCCCCACGGACAGCCTCCGCCTCCAGGCATCTACCCCATGCCAGGTGAGTGTCATTTTGATTTCAGCATGCTAGACTAGCTTTTTCCTCAGTTAAGTTAAAAATATTAAAGGATATAATTATATCATTTTTATGCTTGCTTGTTTTATTTATCATTATTAATCATATCATAATTTATTTATCTCTTTTATATACATAATTTTAGTTTTTTTTTGTTATTTAGTTATTTAAATACTAATAATTTATTTTAATTACTATTTTTTTAAATCAATTTAAATTTTCAACTGATATTAAAATCTTATAAAATTAAGTATCAGAATAGAATTTTCCAGAAAAAAGTTTCACCTGAAATAAAACTTGCACAAGGTCAAAATTGCATTGTTGCGAGAGAGAGACTCCGATAAGTCGCATCAGTGTGTAAGTCATATTTTATTCTTACATTCAGAAATAAATAGGGATGTAATGATTCACTCAACTCACGATTCGATTCCCGATTTTGATTTTTTCCGATTTGATTTTCTCCCAATTTTTTTTTAACAAAATGAGATTGAAGACATTATCAGTAAATGAAAAGGTGTCGCTTTATTAGGCTATTGCTGCACGCATCTTTGTGAAATTGAAATATGACAAAACTAAATTGAAAAATTTAAAACAAACCCCAAATCAAACAAGTTACACAAATAAAAGATTTGTGCTCTTTCCATTTCAAATTAGAAGCAACCACTGGATTTTAATCACGATGCAGCATACATGCAGCGCGAGTAGTTTTTAATCTAAATTAGACTGTATAATTTCGAAATATGAAGCAAAAACAGAATGGTCTGACTTTAGTTTTGTGAAACTATACTACAGTACATAAAACATCTGAAGGAAACAGCAGAAGGTCTGAATGAGACGCAGATTCACTCTCTGCCAGCAGGTGGCGCTTATGAACAGCAATGATAGTGTTTCCTGGATTACCGCTGTAAACAAAGCAGAGCTGCGCCCATGAACACTACTTTAATATGCATTGTTCAGAGGCAAGATGACAAAAAAATACCACGCAAACTTTTCTAAAGATAGTCAGTTCCCTTCAGAGAGACATTCATGGATACTCCTACTCCAATTGTATCGCGATTTGTTTAGCATCTCAACCGATTTGAATCATCACATATTTGAATCGATTTTCAACCGGCTCACGGTTAATCGTTACGTCCCTAGAAATAAACACTATAAATGTATTTTTGTTGGTCTCAGATTCAGACATATTTTACACTTAGAACTAAAGAGTATGAATCTTTCGATTTTAATAGTTTTGAATGATAAAGGAAATTCTGAGAAAGTGCTTGTAAACACATTTGGTAATTTTTTTGTTTACCAAAGGGAAAGAACCTGCGTGCCATTTTAGCCATGTTTGATTAATAATGATGATTAATAATTTCAATTTAATTTGTTAATGTTTATGTATTAACAAAAAACTTAATTATTATTATTTTCATATTTATCAATTGACATTAGAATCTTACAACACTGCATCACAGTATTACAAATTTGCACAAGGTCACACCGATAAGTCACGTCTGTGTGTAAGACACATTTTATTGTTTCATTTAGAATAATGCACTACAACGGTTAATAAAAATTAAACCTTTACAAACATTAAAAAATTGTGTTTCTCTCACTCAACAAATCCTTTCAATTTAATAGTGTTCAGAACAAAACAGGAATGAAAAATATATAATAACAAATTATAATGGCATTCATTATAAGCAGCATTTATTATAAATGCCAAGCCTAAACAAATTTATTTAAAGCAAAATTGATACTACCTGCATGTGGGAAATTCACTATACGTGTTTTGTATAGTTTCAGATGATTAAAAAAATTGTATATTCTGGAAAATACAGTAAATGCATTTGTTAATTGTTAATTTTTAAGAATTTGTTCAAATGTAAGGCTGCATGTAAAATGTAAGGCTGTACTTTATATTAGCAGCATTGAACATGAAAGGATTTCCCTAAAGTTAGTTGTAGAGAGTGTGGTTCAGTTTGCTCTTGTCTTGTTTTAGGGCCTCCTCTAATCCCAGCTACTAGGATAGACACTCAACCCCACTCCAGAACCAGCACCTCTTCCCCTTTGGCCCTGCCTGGAGTGAGACCTCCTCCTCCTCCTCCTCCTCCACCACCACCTCCTTCCTCATCTTCCTCCTCTTCTGCCTCTCTTCACCCTCAGTACACGCTCTCTGAATGTAAGCCACTGACTGCACTTTTCTCTTCACCGCTTGAGCAGTGGTGCTTCTAGAGCTTACTGTGTTTTAAAGGGGTCATATCGTGGAAAACATGCTCTTTTGGAAGAAAACACACTTAAAGGGATAGTTCACCCAAAAATGAAAACTCAACTCACGATTCGATTCCCGATTTTGATTTTTTCCGATTTGATTTTCTCCCAATTTTTTTTTAACAAAATGAGATTGAAGACATTATCAGTAAATGAAAAGGTGTCGTTTTATTAGGCTATTGCTGCACGCATCTTTGTGAAATTGAAATATGACAAAACTAAATTGAAAAATTTTAAACAAACCCCAAATCAAACAAGTTACACAAATAAAAGATTTGTGCTCTTTCCATTTAAAATTAGAAGCAACCACTGGATTTTAATCACGATGCAGCATACATGCAGCGCGAGTAGTTTTTAATCTAAATTAGACTGTATAATTTCGAAATATGAAGCAAAAACAGAATGGTCTGACTTTAGTTTTGTGAAACTATACTACAGTACATAAAACATCTGAAGGAAACAGCAGAAGGTCTGAATGAGACGCAGATTCACTCTCTGCCAGCAGGTGGCGCTTATGAACAGCAATGATAGTGTTTCCTGGATTACCGCTGTAAACAAAGCAGAGCTGCGCCCATGAACACTACTTTAATATGCATTGTTCAGAGGCAAGATGACAAAAAAATACCACGCAAACTTTTCTAAAGATAGTCAGTTCCCTTCAGAGAGACATTCATGGATACTCCTACTCCAATTGTATCGCGATTTGTTTAGCATCTCAACCGATTTGAATCATCACATATTTGAATCGATTTTCAACCGGCTCACGGTTAATCGTTACGTCCCTAGAAATAAACACTATAAATGTATTTTTGTTTGGCAGGTGGCGCTTATGAACAGCAATGATAGTGTTTCCTGGATTACCGCTGTAAACAAAGCAGAGCTGCGCCCATGAACACTACTTTAATATGCATTGTTCAGAGGCAAGATGACAAAAAAATACCACACAAACTTTTCTAAAGATAGTCAGTTCCCTTCAGAGAGACATTCATGGAAACTCCTACTCCAATTGTATCGCGATTTGTTTAGCATCTCAACCGATTTGAATCATCACATATTTGAATCGATTTTCAACCGGCTCACGGTTAATCGTTACGTCCCTAGAAATAAACACTATAAATGTATTTTTGTTTGTCTCAGATTCAGACATATTTTACACTTAGAACTAAAGAGTATGAATCTTTCGATTTTAATAGTTTTGAATGATAAAGGAAATTCTGAGAAAGTGCTTGTAAACACATTTGGTAATTTTTTTGTTTACCAAAGGGAAAGAACCTGCGTGCCATTTTAGCCATGTTTGATTAATAATGATGATTAATAATTTCAATTTAATTTGTTAATGTTTATGTATTAACAAAAAACTTAATTATTATTATTTTCATATTTATCAATTGACATTAGAATCTTACAACACTGCATCACAGTATTACAAATTTGCACAAGGTCACACCGATAAGTCACGTCTGTGTGTAAGACACATTTTATTGTTTCATTTAGAATAATGCACTACAACGGTTAATAAAAATTAAACCTTTACAAACATTAAAAAATTGTGTTTCTCTCACTCAACAAATCCTTTCAATTTAATAGTGTTCAGAACAAAACAGGAATGAAAAATATATAATAACAAATTATAATGGCATTCATTATAAGCAGCATTTATTATAAATGCCAAGCCTAAACAAATTTATTTAAAGCAAAATTGATACTACCTGCATGTGGGAAATTCACTATACGTGTTTTGTATAGTTTCAGATGATTAAAAAAATTGTATATTCTGGAAAATACAGTAAATGCATTTGTTAATTGTTAATTTTTAAGAATTTGTTCAAATGTAAGGCTGCATGTAAAATGTAAGGCTGTACTTTATATTAGCAGCATTGAACATGAAAGGATTTCCCTAAAGTTAGTTGTAGAGAGTGTGGTTCAGTTTGCTCTTGTCTTGTTTTAGGGCCTCCTCTAATCCCAGCTACTAGGATAGACACTCAACCCCACTCCAGAACCAGCACCTCTTCCCCTTTGGCCCTGCCTGGAGTGAGACCTCCTCCTCCTCCTCCTCCTCCACCACCACCTCCTTCCTCATCTTCCTCCTCTTCTGCCTCTCTTCACCCTCAGTACACGCTCTCTGAATGTAAGCCACTGACTGCACTTTTCTCTTCACCGCTTGAGCAGTGGTGCTTCTAGAGCTTACTGTGTTTTAAAGGGGTCATATCGTGGAAAACATGCTCTTTTGGAAGAAAACACACTTAAAGGGATAGTTCACCCAAAAATGAAAAGTTTGTTTATCTGCTTACCCCCAGGGCATCCAAGATGTTGGTGACTTTGTTTCTTCAGTCGTATACAAACAAAGATTTTTTAAGTCAAACTGTTGCAGTCTGTCAGTCATATAATGGAAGTGAATGGGAATCACGGCTTTGAGAGACAAAAAACATACACAAACAAAACCAAATTAAACCCTGCAGCTCGTGACGATACATTGATGTGTAAAGACACAAAACGATCGGTCTGTGCAAGAAACTGAACAGTATTTATATCGTTTTTTTACCTCTGATTTTCACCACAATGTCCGAACTGTCCCGAGCACGTCCTGAGCGCGTTCTCGACAGCCGGCGCCTGACGCGTCGTCGTCTTGCTTTATGGCGGATCGCAGACTTATAAGTGCATTACCGCCACCTATCTCTCAAATGGACCATTGACACTTTTAATTGAGATTGTAGATAGTGTCAATGGTCCATTTGAGAGATAGGTGGCGGTAATGCACTTATAAGTCTGCGTTCCGCCATAAAGCAAGAAGTCGTCGTATCAGGCTTTTGAGGACGCGCTCGGGACAGTTCAGACATTGCGGTGAAAATCAGAGGTAAAAAAACTGTATAAATACTGTTCAGTTTCTTGCACAGACCGATCGTTTCGTGTCTTTACACATCAATGTATCGTCACGAGCCGCAGGGTTTATCAAATTTTCATTTTTGGGGTAACTATCCATTTAATTTCTGCTTTTGATGCACTGCACAAAAAACTCTTACAGTTTTTCCAATCCATCTGAAATGTTTTTTTTTCTTTTTTTCTCCATTTTAATTTATCAGTGTATCTGACATTTTAAGTGGACTTCAGGGAAGAAAGAATGACCCCTTTAAAGAAAGTTGGTGGTGGTTCTGGTCTTGTGTGTACTTTAATTCACTTGTATCAGGGATATTTTTTCCTGAAGGCTGCAGTAACAGATTCTGACCAAGTAGTTGCGCTGTTACTGCATTTTACTTCCTGCAGTTTTGAGCTCATTTTAAAAACAATTTTAAATGATAAAGACAATTTATTTTCTTTTAATTAACCAAAGGGAAATAACCTACATGTTTTGGTAGCTATGTCTATTATTATTAATTTTTATTCCCTGCATGCAGTGCATGTGGTTGACCATGCCTGTCTTGTGTCTCATACAGACAGCTATGACCCTGAGGCCTATAACCCAGAGTCTCCGGGACTGACCGGGCCAGGCAGAGCTCAGTACCGCCATTTTATTCCTCGCATCCAGACACAGAGACCCAATCTCATCGGCCTCACTGCTGGGGACGGACAAAGCTCACGAGGTATCAGATGTGAGAGACGAGTGCCACACAAATGACTGTTTTGCTTGTGTATTGCATGAGATTTTTAAACTCGTTCACAATGGCAGCATGTAACTGAACTCTGGTTTATTTGTGTTTTTAGCGGCTAACATAGTAATCCAGACAGAGCCATCTGTCACGAGTGTTTCGAGCGGAGAGGTGAGGTACAGCTCTGAGCAGGAGAACAGGAAGAGATGTTTGCCATCTACAGATGGACCACAGGCCAAAAAACCCTGGATGGACAAGTGAGTGACGAGTGATCCGAGACCAGTGTCCTCGGAGACAGACTGTAGTAAAAAAAAGTTTTTAGATCATATCAAGTATAATATTCCTCAAAAATTTGGAACAATTCCAGTTTTAATGTTTTTGAAAGAAGTCTCTTGTGCTCACCAAGGCCTCATTAATTTGATAAAATATTCAGTAAAAACTAATATTGTGTTATTACACCTTAAAATGTTCTGTTTTAATGTATTTTAAAATGTTATTTATTGTTATGATGGCAAAGCTACATTTTCTGCTGCCTTTAATTTAGAATTTAATATCTTAGATCCTTCTAATATCCTGATTTATTTTTCAATTATTCAATTATTTTTGGTGCTCCAGTATTAATAAGTTCTAATCAATATAGTTTTATGAATTAAAAAAAATTGTTTTTGATATTTTAGTGAAAACAATGATCTATTCTTTGAATAGGGAGTTCAAAAGAACAGCATTTATTTGAAATAGTATTGTGATATATATAGAGGATCATGTGACACTGAAGTAGTGACTGCTGAAAATTCCGTTTTGCCATCACATGAATAGATTACATTTTAAAATATATTAAAATATACATATCTTTTAAATGTAAAAAAATTCATAATTTAACTTTTTCTTTTTTAATCAAATAAATGCAGCCTTGCTGAGCATATGAGACTTCTTTTAAAAACATTAGAAAAAAACAAATCCTGAATTATTTCAAACTTTTTATCTGTAGTGTGTGAGATATGTATTGTATATGTGACCTGTGCTGGCAAAATGAGTCACAATGAGCACATTTTCAAAAATGAGTTATTTTTATGTTCACATACTCTATTAAAAGAATGATGTATGATTTGTTGGAATCGGACGAAAAATGACACCCGTTTGAAGTCGATAGAGTCAGCAAAGTCAGTTTTGAGAAAAATCGAGTTAAAGTTTTCTGAAGGTTCCAAAGCAAAATCACAGAGCAACGTTGCATCTTTTCCTCCACTTCTTTTCTTAATAATAATTTCTATATTAATAGTCACAATATAGCTATTTTTATTCTATCTTTGTTATTATAAGTAAGAACAGATGCAAAAAAAACACCGTAGAACAAATATAAGAAACCAACAAATAATGCATTACCTTTTTCATTTTACATACAAGCAAAAGCATTCATCAAATGTAAAAACCCCTTTAGTGTGTTCATTACAAATAAAATGATTATTAAAACTACAAAAGTAGTTCAGTCAAGAGCAGCGAGTGATTCTTTTATTGTTAGATTACCATTAATGAGGCGACCTGTATTAAGACCTACTGTAATGCACGGATCTAATATAATGTTACACATCAGATGTTTTTCCCCCAACAGTTCCCCAAACATTCACTTAATACATAACAGATTATTTTTGCTTGAATACTTAAATACTGTAATTCTGTGTATATTTATCGGGATCACGTGCTGTAGATGACAGTCAGCGTGAGAAGCGAGCAGCGAAAAGGTACTCCTCTCAGAAAACGTACAAATAAAGGTAATTAAACATCTAAAAATTATTATATGGAGCATTGGGATCGCTAGACGAGGGCTTAATGAACTAATTTTTGTGAAAACCTCAAAATCGAAATTTTTCATCTTTTTTTGTTTTTGCCTGTAGCTCAAAATTAGCCCGTGCGCATTCCGACTCATTTTGCCAGCGCGGGTCACATTTATATAGAATATATAATGAAATCCTGGAGCGTGAAGGAATCTAATGATGCAAGAGGAGGATGTTCTGTTTTTGTTATGTAATGGGGTATTTTCTGTTTTACAGGCAAAATTTCAATAACCAGCATAAGCCCACCTTCCCGAAAAAGAACCATTACGTCAACACCAAACTAGAGGTCCGCAAAATCCCCCGGGAGCTCAACAACATCACCAAACTCAATGAGCACTTCAGCAAGTTTGGAACAATAGTCAACATCCAGGTAAACATTCTATATAGATTAGATTATCAACTGCATACATTTTTGCTCAACACACTTGCTCATAGGGCTGGGTATCGTTAAAAATGTTTCAATATCTATACCGATACCTTAACTTTGATACCGGTTCCTGAACGATACTTTTTCCGAGACCAATTTTATGAAATCCATGTTGACAAGATTACATTACACATTACCTCAAAAAAACTTGTTGCAGCTTGTTGACATTTTTACAGTCTCGCTCCTGAGCCACTGCACAAAGGAACAAGATGTAACCAACACAATAAATCAGTGCAAATAGATTTCAGTTTCCACATCTTTTAGGCTAAGCTTACATTAGATTCATTTTAAAACGCATAGCTCAGAGTCATCATTTCTATTAATTTTCCACTGATTTACTGATGAGCATTAGCTGCTTCCAGCGCTGTCTGTTTTCTCTCTTCTGCGATCGCTGTTCTGACTCAGAGGAAGCTCATTCGCTGCTCATATGTCAATCATATTACACGTTCATAACCCGCCCTGTCTACGATGACGAACGTCCATTACATTTCCACGTTCCGTACGCAAGAAACCCAGAAAAACATTTCTATGGTTGAAACATGAAGCTAATAAACACATGATTACAACAGTATATGATTTGTATGTGATTTTCATGAGATTCTGCTTATTTTCATAACAAAACTGCAGTAAAGGTGCAATAATATACACTATGAACGTGGAAATGTAATGGACGTTCGTCATCGTAGACAGGGCGGGTTATGAACGTGTAATATGATTGACATATGAGCAGCGAATGAGCTTCCTCTGAGTCAGAACAGCGATCGCAGAAGAGAGAAAACAGACAGCGCTGGAAGCAGCTAATGCTCATCAGTAAATCAGTGGAAAATTAATAGAAATGATGACTCTGAGCTATGCGTTTTAAAATGAATCTAATGTAAGCTTAGCCTAAAAGATGTGGAAACTGAAATCTATTTGCACTGATTTATTGTGTTGGTTACATCTTGTTCCTTTGTGCAGTGGCTCAGGAGCGAGACTGTAAAAATGTCAACAAGCTGCAACAAGTTTTTTTGAGGTAATGTGTAATGTAATCTTGTCAACATGGATTTCATAAAATTGGTCTCGGAAAAAGTATCGTTCAGGAACCGGTATCAAAGTTAAGGTATCGGTATAGATATTGAAACATTTTTAACGATACCCAGCCCTATGAGCAAGTGTGTTGAGCAAAAATGTATGCAGTTGATAATCTAATCTATATAGAATGTTTACCTGGATGTTGACTATTGTTCCAAACTTGCTGAAGTGCTCATTGAGTTTGGTGATGTTGTTGAGCTCCCGGGGGATTTTGCGGACCTCTAGTTTGGTGTTGACGTAATGGTTCTTTTTCGGGAAGGTGGGCTTATGCTGGTTATTGAAATTTTGCCTGTAAAACAGAAAATACCCCATTACATAACAAAAACAGAACATCCTCCTCTTGCATCATTAGATTCCTTCACGCTCCAGGATTTCATTATATATTCTATATAAATGTGACCCGCGCTGGCAAAATGAGTCGGAATGCGCACGGGCTAATTTTGAGCTACAGGCAAAAACAAAAAAAGATGAAAAATTTCGATTTTGAGGTTTTCACAAAAATTAGTTCATTAAGCCCTCGTCTAGCGATCCCAATGCTCCATATAATAATTTTTAGATGTTTAATTACCTTTATTTGTACGTTTTCTGAGAGGAGTACCTTTTCGCTGCTCGCTTCTCACGCTGACTGTCATCTACAGCACGTGATCCCGATAAATATACACAGAATTACAGTATTTAAGTATTCAAGCAAAAATAATCTGTTATGTATTAAGTGAATGTTTGGGGAACTGTTGGGGGAAAAACATCTGATGTGTAACATTATATTAGATCCGTGCATTACAGTAGGTCTTAATACAGGTCGCCTCATTAATGGTAATCTAACAATAAAAGAATCACTCGCTGCTCTTGACTGAACTACTTTTGTAGTTTTAATAATCATTTTATTTGTAATGAACACACTAAAGGGGTTTTTACATTTGATGAATGCTTTTGCTTGTATGTAAAATGAAAAAGGTAATGCATTATTTGTTGGTTTCTTATATTTGTTCTACGGTGTTTTTTTTGCATCTGTTCTTACTTATAATAACAAAGATAGAATAAAAATAGCTATATTGTGACTATTAATATAGAAATTATTATTAAGAAAAGAAGTGGAGGAAAAGATGCAACGTTGCTCTGTGATTTTGCTTTGGAACCTTCAGAAAACTTTAACTCGATTTTTCTCAAAACTGACTTTGCTGACTCTATCGACTTCAAACGGGTGTCATTTTTCGTCCGATTCCAACAAATCATACATCATTCTTTTAATAGAGTATGTGAACATAAAAATAACTCATTTTTGAAAATGTGCTCATTGTGACTCATTTTGCCAGCACAGGTCACATATACAATACATATCACACACACTACAGATAAAAAGTTTGAAATAATTCAGGATTTGTTTTTTTCTAATGTTTTTAAAAGAAGTCTCATATGCTCAGCAAGGCTGCATTTATTTGATTAAAAAAGAAAAAGTTAAATTATGAATTTTTTTACATTTAAAAGATATGTATATTTTAATATATTTTAAAATGTAATCTATTCATGTGATGGCAAAACGGAATTTTCAGCAGTCACTACTTCAGTGTCACATGATCCTCTATATATATCACAATACTATTTCAAATAAATGCTGTTCTTTTGAACTCCCTATTCAAAGAATAGATCATTGTTTTCACTAAAATATCAAAAACAATTTTTTTTAATTCATAAAACTATATTGATTAGAACTTATTAATACTGGAGCACCAAAAATAATTGAATAATTGAAAAATAAATCAGGATATTAGAAGGATCTAAGATATTAAATTCTAAATTAAAGGCAGCAGAAAATGTAGCTTTGCCATCATAACAATAAATAACATTTTAAAATACATTAAAACAGAACATTTTAAGGTGTAATAACACAATATTAGTTTTTACTGAATATTTTATCAAATTAATGAGGCCTTGGTGAGCACAAGAGACTTCTTTCAAAAACATTAAAACTGGAATTGTTCCAAATTTTTGAGGAATATTATACTTGATATGATCTAAAAACTTTTTTTTACTACAGTCTGTCTCCGAGGACACTGGTCTCGGATCACTCGTCACTCACTTGTCCATCCAGGGTTTTTTGGCCTGTGGTCCATCTGTAGATGGCAAACATCTCTTCCTGTTCTCCTGCTCAGAGCTGTACCTCACCTCTCCGCTCGAAACACTCGTGACAGATGGCTCTGTCTGGATTACTATGTTAGCCGCTAAAAACACAAATAAACCAGAGTTCAGTTACATGCTGCCATTGTGAACGAGTTTAAAAATCTCATGCAATACACAAGCAAAACAGTCATTTGTGTGGCACTCGTCTCTCACATCTGATACCTCGTGAGCTTTGTCCGTCCCCAGCAGTGAGGCCGATGAGATTGGGTCTCTGTGTCTGGATGCGAGGAATAAAATGGCGGTACTGAGCTCTGCCTGGCCCGGTCAGTCCCGGAGACTCTGGGTTATAGGCCTCAGGGTCATAGCTGTCTGTATGAGACACAAGACAGGCATGGTCAACCACATGCACTGCATGCAGGGAATAAAAATTAATAATAATAGACATAGCTACCAAAACATGTAGGTTATTTCCCTTTGGTTAATTAAAAGAAAATAAATTGTCTTTATCATTTAAAATTGTTTTTAAAATGAGCTCAAAACAGCAGGAAGTAAAATGCAGTAACAGCGCAACTACTTGGTCAGAATCTGTTACTGCAGCCTTCAGGAAAAAATATCCCTGATACAAGTGAATTAAAGTACACACAAGACCAGAACCACCACCAACTTTCTTTAAAGGGGTCATTCTTTCTTCCCTGAAGTCCACTTAAAATGTCAGATACACTGATAAATTAAAATGGAGAAACATTGATGTGTAAAGACACGAAACGATCGGTCTGTGCAAGAAACTGAACAGTATTTATACAGTTTTTTTACCTCTGATTTTCACCGCAATGTCTGAACTGTCCCGAGCGCGTCCTCAAAAGCCTGATACGACGACTTCTTGCTTTATGGCGGAACGCAGACTTATAAGTGCATTACCGCCACCTATCTCTCAAATGGACCATTGACACTATCTACAATCTCAATTAAAAGTGTCAATGGTCCATTTGAGAGATAGGTGGCGGTAATGCACTTATAAGTCTGCGTTCCGCCATAAAGCAAGAAGTCGTCGTATCAGGCTTTTGAGGACGCGCTCGGGACAGTTCAGACATTGCGGTGAAAATCAGAGGTAAAAAAACTGTATAAATACTGTTCAGTTTCTTGCACAGACCGATCGTTTCGTGTCTTTACACATCAATGTATCGTCACGAGCCGCAGGGTTTATCAAATTTTCATTTTTGGGGTAACTATCCATTTAATTTCTGCTTTTGATGCACTGCACAAAAAACTCTTACAGTTTTTCCAATCCATCTGAAATGTTTTTTTTTCTTTTTTTCTCCATTTTAATTTATCAGTGTATCTGACATTTTAAGTGGACTTCAGGGAAGAAAGAATGACCCCTTTAAAGAAAGTTGGTGGTGGTTCTGGTCTTGTGTGTACTTTAATTCACTTGTATCAGGGATATTTTTTCCTGAAGGCTGCAGTAACAGATTCTGACCAAGTAGTTGCGCTGTTACTGCATTTTACTTCCTGCAGTTTTGAGCTCATTTTAAAAACAATTTTAAATGATAAAGACAATTTATTTTCTTTTAATTAACCAAAGGGAAATAACCTACATGTTTTGGTAGCTATGTCTATTATTATTAATTTTTATTCCCTGCATGCAGTGCATGTGGTTGACCATGCCTGTCTTGTGTCTCATACAGACAGCTATGACCCTGAGGCCTATAACCCAGAGTCTCCGGGACTGACCGGGCCAGGCAGAGCTCAGTACCGCCATTTTATTCCTCGCATCCAGACACAGAGACCCAATCTCATCGGCCTCACTGCTGGGGACGGACAAAGCTCACGAGGTATCAGATGTGAGAGACGAGTGCCACACAAATGACTGTTTTGCTTGTGTATTGCATGAGATTTTTAAACTCGTTCACAATGGCAGCATGTAACTGAACTCTGGTTTATTTGTGTTTTTAGCGGCTAACATAGTAATCCAGACAGAGCCATCTGTCACGAGTGTTTCGAGCGGAGAGGTGAGGTACAGCTCTGAGCAGGAGAACAGGAAGAGATGTTTGCCATCTACAGATGGACCACAGGCCAAAAAACCCTGGATGGACAAGTGAGTGACGAGTGATCCGAGACCAGTGTCCTCGGAGACAGACTGTAGTAAAAAAAAGTTTTTAGATCATATCAAGTATAATATTCCTCAAAAATTTGGAACAATTCCAGTTTTAATGTTTTTGAAAGAAGTCTCTTGTGCTCACCAAGGCCTCATTAATTTGATAAAATATTCAGTAAAAACTAATATTGTGTTATTACACCTTAAAATGTTCTGTTTTAATGTATTTTAAAATGTTATTTATTGTTATGATGGCAAAGCTACATTTTCTGCTGCCTTTAATTTAGAATTTAATATCTTAGATCCTTCTAATATCCTGATTTATTTTTCAATTATTCAATTATTTTTGGTGCTCCAGTATTAATAAGTTCTAATCAATATAGTTTTATGAATTAAAAAAAATTGTTTTTGATATTTTAGTGAAAACAATGATCTATTCTTTGAATAGGGAGTTCAAAAGAACAGCATTTATTTGAAATAGTATTGTGATATATATAGAGGATCATGTGACACTGAAGTAGTGACTGCTGAAAATTCCGTTTTGCCATCACATGAATAGATTACATTTTAAAATATATTAAAATATACATATCTTTTAAATGTAAAAAAATTCATAATTTAACTTTTTCTTTTTTAATCAAATAAATGCAGCCTTGCTGAGCATATGAGACTTCTTTTAAAAACATTAGAAAAAAACAAATCCTGAATTATTTCAAACTTTTTATCTGTAGTGTGTGTGATATGTATTGTATATGTGACCTGTGCTGGCAAAATGAGTCACAATGAGCACATTTTCAAAAATGAGTTATTTTTATGTTCACATACTCTATTAAAAGAATGATGTATGATTTGTTGGAATCGGACGAAAAATGACACCCGTTTGAAGTCGATAGAGTCAGCAAAGTCAGTTTTGAGAAAAATCGAGTTAAAGTTTTCTGAAGGTTCCAAAGCAAAATCACAGAGCAACGTTGCATCTTTTCCTCCACTTCTTTTCTTAATAATAATTTCTATATTAATAGTCACAATATAGCTATTTTTATTCTATCTTTGTTATTATAAATAAGAACAGATGCAAAAAAAACACCGTAGAACAAATATAAGAAACCAACAAATAATGCATTACCTTTTTCATTTTACATACAAGCAAAAGCATTCATCAAATGTAAAAACCCCTTTAGTGTGTTCATTACAAATAAAATGATTATTAAAACTACAAAAGTAGTTCAGTCAAGAGCAGCGAGTGATTCTTTTATTGTTAGATTACCATTAATGAGGCGACCTGTATTAAGACCTACTGTAATGCACGGATCTAATATAATGTTACACATCAGATGTTTTTCCCCCAACAGTTCCCCAAACATTCACTTAATACATAACAGATTATTTTTGCTTGAATACTTAAATACTGTAATTCTGTGTATATTTATCGGGATCACGTGCTGTAGATGACAGTCAGCGTGAGAAGCGAGCAGCGAAAAGGTACTCCTCTCAGAAAACGTACAAATAAAGGTAATTAAACATCTAAAAATTATTATATGGAGCATTGGGATCGCTAGACGAGGGCTTAATGAACTAATTTTTGTGAAAACCTCAAAATCGAAATTTTTCATCTTTTTTTGTTTTTGCCTGTAGCTCAAAATTAGCCCGTGCGCATTCCGACTCATTTTGCCAGCGCGGGTCACATTTATATAGAATATATAATGAAATCCTGGAGCGTGAAGGAATCTAATGATGCAAGAGGAGGATGTTCTGTTTTTGTTATGTAATGGGGTATTTTCTGTTTTACAGGCAAAATTTCAATAACCAGCATAAGCCCACCTTCCCGAAAAAGAACCATTACGTCAACACCAAACTAGAGGTCCGCAAAATCCCCCGGGAGCTCAACAACATCACCAAACTCAATGAGCACTTCAGCAAGTTTGGAACAATAGTCAACATCCAGGTAAACATTCTATATAGATTAGATTATCAACTGCATACATTTTTGCTCAACACACTTGCTCATAGGGCTGGGTATCGTTAAAAATGTTTCAATATCTATACCGATACCGGTTCCTGAACGATACTTTTTCCGAGACCAATTTTATGAAATCCATGTTGACAAGATTACATTACACATTACCTCAAAAAAACTTGTTGCAGCTTGTTGACATTTTTACAGTCTCGCTCCTGAGCCACTGCACAAAGGAACAAGATGTAACCAACACAATAAATCAGTGCAAATAGATTTCAGTTTCCACATCTTTTAGGCTAAGCTTACATTAGATTCATTTTAAAACGCATAGCTCAGAGTCATCATTTCTATTAATTTTCCACTGATTTACTGATGAGCATTAGCTGCTTCCAGCGCTGTCTGTTTTCTCTCTTCTGCGATCGCTGTTCTGACTCAGAGGAAGCTCATTCGCTGCTCATATGTCAATCAATCATATTACACGTTCATAACCCGCCCTGTCTACGATGACGAACGTCCATTACATTTCCACGTTCCGTACGCAAGAAACCCAGAAAAACATTTCTATGGTTGAAACATGAAGCTAATAAACACATGATTACAACAGTATATGATTTGTATGTGATTTTCATGAGATTCTGCTTATTTTCATAACAAAACTGCAGTAAAGGTGCAATAATATACACTATGTCAATGTGAAATACTATCTCTAGTCACTAAATCACCACAGTTACTCATTCCATTTAAATTGTACTTTTGTATAAACTTACTGTGCATATCTAGGTGAAGGCCAACGTGCAATACTATAAATGTAATTGTATTTACTTGTAAAATTGTACTGTACAGTCTTATAGTCTTTATTGTCTGTGGTTATATGTTTGTTGTTCTAACACCAGTCAGGAGTAGTGCTCTTAATTTCGTTGTATACAGAAAAATACAATGACAATAAAGGCATTCAATTCAATACGGGGTGTTTGGGTGTTTACAGCTAAGCAGTAGCGATTAGCCTGCTATAAAAACAAATAGCAACATTAGCTGGCCAAAGCACACATTAGAACATTAGATGAAGGCTTATAAATAGCCTTACATTTATGGGGGTTGGGACACTTACACACTTACAGCCTCATGGGCATAACCGGCATAAACTAGTGTTTTTCCATGATGCCTCACCAGAGCCAATCACCAGCACTTGATTTAGGCACATCAAGCATGCTTATTGGCTCACTGAAGTGGACGAGATTAACCCCTTAGGTATCGAAATTTGGTACCGAACGACGAGACATTTTTTGATACTAAATTGTATCGAGGCAATTCGGTCAGTGGCTAAAAAGTATACCCAGCCCTACTTTCTCAACAAGATTGCTTTTGTCATTGTGGTCATGTAATACTTTTGTTGCAAAGATCACTTAATGTAGTTGTAGTGATTGTGCTGATTCTGAAGTTAAACTGCATCCTGTATTGTGATTTCCACAGGTGGTGTTTGGGGGCGACCCCGAGGCGGCATTGATCCAGTACACAGCTAATGATGAGGCTCGGAGGGCCATCTCCAGCACCGAAGCTGTTCTGAATAACCGCTTCATCAGAGTGTACTGGCATCGAGAGGCCACATCCAACTCACAGGAACAGGGACCCAGTCAGAGCACAAACCCTGGACACCAACATCCCGCAACTCACAAGGTCTGTCAGAAGTGTGTGATGCTGATGGATTTTCATATTCAGACAGCATTAGAACTTGAATGTGCAATACATTATATTCCTATGCAGTTCCATTGTGGTGGTGTTCTAATATTTGGGGAACAGACTCTTACTGGCCAGTCCTATTTTTGATATTTCTGAGATCCCACTGAAACAATTGTGTCAGTTTTTAGAGATTGTTCACCCAAAAATGATTAATTGATATTCTGTATGTGACTGTTCATCCATGGATGAGACTTGGTTTCCCATTCGTCTACATTCTTTGACTGAATTTAGTTTTGTTTGCAGGTCGTTAATAAGCTGCACACCGCAGGATCTTATGTGCTGAACAAAACCTTCCCTAAACAGCAGACTGCCACAGGAGCCGCAGGCACAACGGGCAGCACTGAACTTACCAGCCCAAGCCAGGAACCTTCAGTGGTAAAGAAAGCACATGAATGTTTGCACACATCTGACTGAGAGAATACATGCTAGCATGGAACAAGTACCCAATCCAGTGATCCAGTCTAAAAAGTTCTTATCATAAAGTAGTGCTGGGTGGTATACCGGTTCATACCGAATACCGGTGTTTATTTTTGTTATGATATGAATTTTTTAAATACCATAATACCGGTGTATGTCACTTAACGTTCGGAATGCGACACTGTTTGAAATTATCCACCGCCACAAATATCCACCGCCCCTACCATCAGCTCCCGCGTCTCTCACACACACACACGCACACACACACGAGCGCGACTTTAGCACTAGATTTAGCAACTTTCAGACCCTTTTAGCGGCTTTCACCATAGAATATTCATACTGACAAACCTAGCGACTTTTTTGGATAAACCTTAGCTATGGTTCAGTTGGAGGATTTCGCCAGTGCTGTTCCGCGAACGCGAGGTCTGACTTTCCCCGAGAAGTGTCGCCTCTCTCGGCGTCTGTTCTGTGCAGTGAGCGGCAGAGAAGCACCGCAGCGACTCCTCAAATGAGTACAAAACAGCGTTTCCTAGCACCTGTCGCTTACTGATTGTTTGGAATTATAAATATGAGCGTAGTTCGTCTGTTAATATTACATGCACTTTTTAGTTTGTTACTCAGACGCAGACAGTGCTGCATGAGACAAAAAAGTAATCTAGCCAAAACAACCACATAGCCGCTCTTTAGTGTAGATGCATGTTGATTTTATCAGACGATGCCGCGATTATAAATGAGAGTGACTCCTGGTTAACATGTATTAAAAGGGGTCGTCAAGTTTGGAACAATAGTCAACATCCAGGTAAACATTCTATATAGATTAGATTATCAACTGCATACATTTTTGCTCAACACACTTGCTCATAGGGCTGGGTATCGTTAAAAATGTTTCAATATCTATACCGATACCGGTTCCTGAACGATACTTTTTCCGAGACCAATTTTATGAAATCCATGTTGACAAGATTACATTACACATTACCTCAAAAAAACTTGTTGCAGCTTGTTGACATTTTTACAGTCTCGCTCCTGAGCCACTGCACAAAGGAACAAGATGTAACCAACACAATAAATCAGTGCAAATAGATTTCAGTTTCCACATCTTTTAGGCTAAGCTTACATTAGATTCATTTTAAAACGCATAGCTCAGAGTCATCATTTCTATTAATTTTCCACTGATTTACTGATGAGCATTAGCTGCTTCCAGCGCTGTCTGTTTTCTCTCTTCTGCGATCGCTGTTCTGACTCAGAGGAAGCTCATTCGCTGCTCATATGTCAATCATATTACACGTTCATAACCCGCCCTGTCTACGATGACGAACGTCCATTACATTTCCACGTTCCGTACGCAAGAAACCCAGAAAAACATTTCTATGGTTGAAACATGAAGCTAATAAACACATGATTACAACAGTATATGATTTGTATGTGATTTTCATGAGATTCTGCTTATTTTCATAACAAAACTGCAGTAAAGGTGCAATAATATACACTATATGTCAATGTGAAATACTATCTCTAGTCACTAAATCACCACAGTTACTCATTCCATTTAAATTGTACTTTTGTATAAACTTACTGTGCATATCAAGGTGAAGGCCAACGTGCAATACTATAAATGTAATTGTATTTACTTGTAAAATTGTACTGTACAGTCTTATAGTCTTTATTGTCTGTGGTTATATGTTTGTTGTTCTAACACCAGTCAGGAGTAGTGCTCTTAATTTCGTTGTATACAGAAAAATACAATTCAATTCAATACGGGGTGTTTACATGAGAAAAGCTAAGCAGTAGCGATTAGCCTGCTATAAAAACAAATAGCAACATTAGCTGGCCAAAGCACACATTAGATCGCGATCGGAAGGCTTATAAATAGCCTTACATTTATGGGGGTTGGGACACTTACACACTTACAGCCTCATGGGCATAACCGGCATAAACTAGTGTTTTTCCATGATGCCTCACCAGAGCCAATCACCAGCACTTGATTTAGGCACATCAAGCATGCTTATTGGCTCACTGAAGTGGACGAGATTAACCCCTTAGGTATCGAAATTTGGTACCGAACGACGAGACATTTTTTGATACTAAATTGTATCGAGGCAATTCGGTCAGTGGCTAAAAAGTATACCCAGCCCTACTTTCTCAACAAGATTGCTTTTGTCATTGTGGTCATGTAATACTTTTGTTGCAAAGATCACTTAATGTAGTTGTAGTGATTGTGCTGATTCTGAAGTTAAACTGCATCCTGTATTGTGATTTCCACAGGTGGTGTTTGGGGGCGACCCCGAGGCGGCATTGATCCAGTACACAGCTAATGATGAGGCTCGGAGGGCCATCTCCAGCACCGAAGCTGTTCTGAATAACCGCTTCATCAGAGTGTACTGGCATCGAGAGGCCACATCCAACTCACAGGAACAGGGACCCAGTCAGAGCACAAACCCTGGACACCAACATCCCGCAACTCACAAGGTCTGTCAGAAGTGTGTGATGCTGATGGATTTTCATATTCAGACAGCATTAGAACTTGAATGTGCAATACATTATATTCCTATGCAGTTCCATTGTGGTGGTGTTCTAATATTTGGGGAACAGACTCTTACTGGCCAGTCCTATTTTTGATATTTCTGAGATCCCACTGAAACAATTGTGTCAGTTTTTAGAGATTGTTCACCCAAAAATGATTAATTGATATTCCGTATGTGACTGTTCATCCATGGATGAGACTTGGTTTCCCATTCGTCTACATTCTTTGACTGAATTTAGTTTTGTTTGCAGGTCGTTAATAAGCTGCACACCGCAGGATCTTATGTGCTGAACAAAACCTTCCCTAAACAGCAGACTGCCACAGGAGCCGCAGGCACAACGGGCAGCACTGAACTTACCAGCCCAAGCCAGGAACCTTCAGTGGTAAAGAAAGCACATGAATGTTTGCACACATCTGACTGAGAGAATACATGCTAGCATGGAACAAGTACCCAATCCAGTGATCCAGTCTAAAAAGTTCTTATCATAAAGTAGTGCTGGGCGGTATACCGGTTCATACCGAATACCGGTGTTTATTTTTGTTATGATATGAATTTTTTAAATACCATAATACCGGTGTATGTCACTTAACGTTCGGAATGCGACACTGTTTGAAATTATCCACCGCCACAAATATCCACCGCCCCTACCATCAGCTCCCGCGTCTCTCACACACACACACGCACACACACACGAGCGCGACTTTAGCACTAGATTTAGCAACTTTCAGACCCTTTTAGCGGCTTTCACCATAGAATATTCATACTGACAAACCTAGCGACTTTTTTGGATAAACCTTAGCTATGGTTCAGTTGGAGGATTTCGCCAGTGCTGTTCCGCGAACGCGAGGTCTGACTTTCCCGGAGAAGTGTCGCCTCTCTCGGCGTGTGCTCTGTGCAGTGAGCGGCAGAGAAGCACCGCAGCGACTCCTCAAATGAGTACAAAACAGCGTTTCCTAGCACCTGTCGCTTACTGATTGTTTGGAATTATAAATATGAGTGTAGTTCGTCTGTTAATATTACATGCACTTTTTAGTTTGTTACTCAGACGCAGACAGTGCTGCATGAGACAAAAAAGTAATCTAGCCAAAACAACCACATAGCCGCTCTTTAGTGTAGATGCATGTTGATTTTATCAGACGATGCCGCGATTATAAATGAGAGTGACTCCTGGTTAACATGTATTAAAAGGGGTCGT